TTCTAGCACAGTGTTTCTCAACTTGTGGGTGTTGACCCCTTTGGGGTTACATAGGACCATTGAAAAACATTAATATTTACATTATTATTCATAACAGTAGTAAAATTACAGTTATGAAGTAGCAATGAAATAATTTTATGGTTGGGGGTCACCATGACATGAGGAACTGTCTTAAAGGGTCGCAGCATTAGGAAGGTTGAGAGCCACTGCTCTAGCAGGTTGTCTTGGGTACAAACTCTTGGTAGACACAGGGAACCGAGATAGCAGATAGATACACACAGGGGCCTTTTCAAGTCATGCTTGCATTTATCCCATTGGCCAGAGGAAGTCACGTAGCCAATCCCAGAATCAGAGGAAGGAAACCTGAAAAGTGGCCGGCAAAAGGGTGTAGTTACAGAGGGGCAACTGATACAACCATTCCTCACGGTGGCTTAGCCAGAATGGAGATGCTCTTTCTCTGATTTGTAAAGAATATTGGAAAATAGGCAATGTGGAGTCATCAGGGGTCAAGACTCCTCAACACATCTTCTTACCTTTCTGGGCCAAACAAGCTGCGTTTCTCCAGCCATCACACACATTCCCAGACACTAGGATAATGTGAAGTAAAGTGACTATCTTCAGGTTTTATGTAATAGTTCAGCTTGTATTTACTGGTAAGCACACGTGATCACTCAGGCTAGTAGACAGGTTGGGGAAATGCAGTCTTTTAATTGGTCACAGTGTGATTAGCTAAGAGTTTGAATTTTGTCCATGTCAGAAAAATTGAGTGACTATTGGGAAGGCCACAGGAAGAGCTGTAGGAAAGGAGCCTAGGCAGAGAGAGGGATAACTTGCCTGAAGCCTCCCTCCCTCCCTCCCTCCTTCTCTCCCTCCCTCTCTCCCTTCCTCCCTCCTTCCCTCCCTCTCTCCCTCCCTCTCTCCCTTCCTGTGTTCCTTCCTTCCTTCCTTCCTTCCTTCCTTCCTTCCTTCCTTCCTTCCTTCCATCCTTCCTTCCTGACTCCTACCAATAAACATTATTAAAGCACCTACTTTGGCCAGGCAGTGGTGGTGCACGCCTTTAATACCAGCACTTGGGAGGCAGAGGCAGGCAGATCTCTGTGAGTTCGAGACCAGCCTGGTCTACAAGAGCTAGTTCCAGGACAGCTTCCAAAGCCACAGAAAAACCCAGTCTCAGATTCCCCCCCCCCAAAAAAAAAAAAAAAAAAAAACACCTACTCTGAGCCATACACTGTTCCAGGCACTGGGGGTAAAGGATTGAATGTGTATCAGACAGAGAAGGGAGACAGTCAGGCATGGTGTCTCTGAACAGATAACATCTGGATAGAGACCTGAATGAAGATGAGGGCCACTAACCTCTGGAAGGTGGGAGGGAGGAGGTTTTCAGGCAGAAAAGCAGGAGCCAAGACTCAGATGAGAAGGACCTCAGTATATTTGGGAACATACAGGGGCAGAATGGATGGTGCCTGGCAGAGAGGAAACGGTGAAGAGGGGGTACCAGGCAGGGCCTCCATGGGAGCAAGGGCAGCAGATGGTTCTGGGAGGGACCTGTAAGCCTGCAGGCCTGGATTTGGGGTGGAGTCTTGGACTAGACCCCCGTGTGTGGCCCTGTCTCCCTTGGTGCCTTAGCTCACTGGTTCTTCTCACCTGGTGGTGAATTCCTTCACCCTGAGCACTCAGAGACTCTGAGTCACAGGAAGTGAGGTGTGGTGTCACCAGTCAGCATTCCTGAATTCTGCTTCTCTGACCTATGCTGGCATCTAGGACTAAAAGCTGACCCCCTCCCCCACTCAACCTATGGGGACCACCTTGTAGTATCTCCTCATCTGCCCCCAGAAATCCCTTGTCAGCCCCATCATGCCTTAGGGAAGAAACCATACTCACAGAGAGAATTCAGCTGGCCTAAGCCCCTGCCAAGGATGGCTTTCCCCACTCTCCACAGGTCTTGCTAGAGGCCAGCAGGCCCCCTGGCCACCTGCTGCAGGAAAGCAGGCTGGCCAGCTTCCCCCACCCCCTCAACCCACAGGCCTCTTCTGTGTTCTGCCCCCTGGGGCTCCATCTCCTGGCAAGGGTCACAGGGCACCGCTGACCCCATAGCCTGCTGGCGTGCCCGGCTGATAATTGAAAATACCAGAATTCCCTGATGTCCAACTTCCAGGGTAACCTGACCCAGGGTGGGCGCGGCGGCAGGAGGGGCCCGGACAGCTTCCAGCCTGTCCCTTTTCTCACTGCTAATCCCTGAATTCCGAGAGAGGGGCCAGCCCCCTGGCCTGCCTTGATCATCTTCCAGGCAGATGCCGCCTCCTCACCATGCCTGGGTCACGGGGCTTAGGGGCTCAGAGCCCAGGATCTGCCTGAAACCCAAGCCTGCTGCCGCCCAGACCCCTCAAGCCCATGGGACCCGCCATGCCTGGAGGGGGGCAGATTGGCTTCGAGACTACAGTCTGGAAGCATAGGGTGTCCTCAAGCCCTCTGCAGGCTTCCCTGATCTGTCTGTATAGCTGCAGGGAGAGGGCCAGTTGGCTCCATTGCTTGCTATGTGTGGCCTTGGGCGGTTTCTTCATCCCTCCTGATTTCCTCATCTGATGAGTGGGTATAATTATGTCCAACTCACAGACGGGACATTCGTTTTAACTGAGTTAGCCGATAAAAAGTGACCATGTGGGTATCAGTAACCAGGGCCTCCTCTGGGTGGATATCATGGGCTCTCAGGGCCCCCAAGAAAGTGAGCTGAGTGGGCAGAGGAGCAGACAGTCACCTACTCTAGTCCTTCTGTCATACCCCAGGGCTTTCAGGACAAGGACAGACTTTCAAAGGCTGGGCCCACTTGCCTCGACAGCATTGTCCCACCCCTCTCAAGAGGCCACTCTATGGCTTAGAGCTAAAGAGACTGTGGAGAGAGCCCAGCCTGGGCATAGTCTGTGAGAGGTAACCACATGCCCCACCAGGGCTCAGCTGCTATGGACCTGCCTTCTGCTGTGTGACCTTGGACAAATCACTCCCCCTCTCTGAGCATGCTCTGTCTCCTAGCAACATCAGCTTCACCTTAGAAGTCCAGGTTCCCAGGCACCCTGCTGACTTGCAGGGTCAACAGCTGGAAATGGGTAGGCAATGTGAGGTCTGTCTAGATCTCCCCATTCCACTGGCTCCAGATGAAAAGAGAGGCAAGCAACAGGACACATCCTGCCACTTGCAGTTGAGAGTAAACTGGAGATTCTAGAAGCAGCAGCCAGGACCAGTCTGGGTTCTCTGGTTCCTCTTTACAGAGCCTAGTGTGGTGCTGGCCAGGGGATGGGGGACAGAACACATGGGGGGCAGAAGGAAGCACACTTTCTCCCATGAGTCTGTGTGGCCCTGATTGGCCAAGTGGCGTGGCTTCACTCTGGAGGGATCTTAGCATTCCCAGAAACATTTCTTCACTACCTGCTCAGCCTTTCTCTCTCTCTCTCTCTCTCTCTCTCTCTCTCTCTCTCTCTCTTCCTCATTGTCTGCTTGCTTTAACTCTGGCTACTGAGTCTATTCCTTTAATAGCTTTAGAGCACACTTCTTTGGAACACTCGTGAATACTGATAAGCAGCTGATAGGTCCAGGTTCATAAACCAAGCAACTACTGGACTCTTCAAATTTCCACTGGTAGACAGCCATTGTTGCACTAACTGGGCCAGACTCTGTGAGACATTCTAATATATCTACTATCTACAAACTAGGAGAAATTCATTCTACCAGTCTTGTTCAAGTAGAAAACATTGAATGATGCTACTTACAGTGATCCTGCTGCACAAGGCAGGGGTATAGAAGCCGAGGCTCCCAGAGGTGAAAAGACCCTGCACAGACCACGAGTCAGCAAGTGGTGGGGGAGTGAGCAGAACAGAAGTCCATACTTGGGACTCAGCCACACTGGCCTCTAGGCTTTGGGGGAACAGGCAGAATATTGGCGCTGCCATACCACAAGTCCAACAGCCTGGCCAGAGTAGAGAGGACAGTGTGGCCCAGAGATGTTGACAATTCACCTAAGGCCACACAGCCAGTTCATAGAGGACACAGAGGACAGCCTGGGGGAAATGAGACAGAATGGAAATAGCTGCTAAGTCAGCTCCAATGTCAGAGGCTCCTGAGCTCCCAAAGGACTAAGCCAGGCTAGTGTCCAGTACAGCCAAAGCCTTGGGAAGCAAGGTAAGACCTGGAAGAAGTTTTGGTATCAGCATTCAGGTATCTCTTTGTTGGCCAGGATGGGAAATCTGCCCATCACAGACCTGTTCAGGAGCCAGGAAAGGTTAGGAGGTGCTTCCTCCCCTGTGAGTCCTCAGTCCTTCGTGGGACAACAAACCCTCAGGTCCGGAGAGGCACTTTAGAACCCAGGCTTGGCTGGCCCCCTCTAGGAAGAGCAGGGCTCTTGAGACCTCCCACCCTGCTCCCCGCCAGTGTGTACCACATCTGCCTGGTGGTACCACTCAAACACACCACAGGTGCGTCGTACAGGCTTGCCCCGGTGGAAGAGGCAAAATCCAAGCTAGAGTGTCAAGAACAAAGGACCAGAGAATAGCAGTGACACCTGACCCTCTTGAGGGACTAAATAATCTGCAATGGTCCTTCCAGCACCGAGTGCAGCCCACTTCCCGTCCCCATCTTAACCCCCTTGCTGAGAACACTGATTGCTGGTGGGCTGGGGTTGGTAGATTGACTATTTGATGGACTTGATTGAGGTAAAGTTCTTGTGGCACACACCTGACTGGTCCAACATGTATGACATAATGGCAGTTAGTGTGCTTACTGTACCCCATATAGTTCCAGAACACTGTCACCAGCCCTGAGGGAAACCACAGCCCCCACCACACTCCAGCACCCCCTATTGGCACTTTTTCCAGTCCCTCACCCCCCACCCCAATCCTGCTTTCTGCCCCTGTTCACACTGGTCTCACAGTTGCCTGTCTATCCAGGCCCTTTTCAGGTAAGCCGCACTTCCTCATGCCTGTTTTGACCCCGACCTCTGGCCTCTCTTGCAGCACCATCGGCCGTGTCTATCATGCATCAGGTGAGCCGCACCGTGGACAGCATCACCCTGTCATGGTCCCAGCCAGACCAGCCCAATGGTGTGATTCTGGACTACGAACTACAGTATTATGAGAAGGTAGCCGTGTCCCCACCTGCCCCAACTCCCCAAGAATCCCTCTCCCAGACTCAGCCTGGTGTCCCCTCTGCTGCCAGCCTCAGGATCATGCTGCCTGGCTCTCCACTGGCTCTCCCACCCCTGTTGTGAGGTCTTGGGCAGGTGCCTTGACCTCTCTGAGTCTCACTGTTCTGGTCCAGGGGACCAGCTAGCTGTCTGAGTGACATGTCACACACAGTCCTATTGCCATCAAGTCCTCTTCGGACTTGACCTCCAGAGGCCTGAGATTGTGATAAACTGCTTTAAAAAAAAAATAGTACTTAGGGGTAATAACTGATCTTCACCTACAGAAAACACCCATGTGGGGTGTTCCCCTAGAGACCACAAGGGCCTCAGGGAAAGATGGACTTCTGTTTAAACTAAGGTGTCAGTGACAACTAGGAGGTCCACAGTTGAGGGTGAGCCCACAGTGAACCAACAGTGGACAAGAGGATTCTCCCTAAAGGCTGAGAGAAGAAAGTCGTGCTTCCTTTGAGCCACTCTGAGTCTGTTGTAGCAGCTGTCTCTACCTAGACACCTTGGGCTGGATATGGGGATTTCTCCCTGATGGTTTAGAACAGGCCCCACTCCTGTTTTGGAAGCTGGAAGCCACACAAAAAAGACTGACCAAGCAGAGCCGCAGGCAGGCATCCTTTCCCCCTCTGGGCTTCCATTTCCACATGGGTGGACTGGAGAGGAGACTGCCACTCCATGGGGACCATGAGGAGAAAGAGAGGTGCAGGAACCAACATGAGGTGCATCCCTGGCCTCCCTGCTCTCCTGCTCTGCCTCCTACAGAGTGGACCAGTACTTCAGGGCAGTACCACATGGGACCAGAGAACACGCGGTCCACACAGTACAGAGCTGCAAGAGTGGACATAACAGTTGGCCTCCCAATGGATAAACGCCAGGGGCCCTGTAACCTGCCCCTTTAACTGATAGCCCTTCTTCTTTGTACCCAGAGAGACCACAAGGACCCCCGGGAACGGTGATATAGAACTGAGGTGTCATGACTGATAGGAAGTCCTCCCTAGGGGGTGATCTCACAGTAAGCAGGAAATGGGTGGGGAGTCAGGCCGTTAAGGCTCAGAGAAGACAGCTGGAGACAGTGGCAGCTAAGCCTGCTGGAGCCCACTTTCTGAGGCCGCACCTAGCCCTAGCACCCCATCAGCTTCTGAGGTAGCCTCGCTCTACTTGTCACACACTAACCGGGCCTGCCATTCCAGTGTTCCTAATTACTGCCTTCTGCAGTAATGTCCTGGGGTCCTGTGTTCCGGGAGGTCAGGGGCCGCCCCTCTGGCCATCACCTTGTCCCCAGAGCCCAGAAACTGAAGCACGGAGGCACCTGATCCATGGGTTGAGTGAACCCCTCACAGCTGGTTGCTGTGCCCAGCCCCTGCAACCAGCTGTCTCCCCGAGAGAGACCTGTGCGCCCCTGATTCCCACCTCTCCTCCCACCCTGGCTTTTGACTTCTCTATCCCATCCCTCCCTCCCTCCATGGTCTCTCAGATCTGCCTGTCAGCATCTTTGGGGTACCACAGAAACACTGCCATCACTGTCATCAGCGAATATCTTCCCACGAACTCTGCCTCTTCTCTAGAAAGCCCATCCTGGCAGCAGGGGCCCCGGTCTCCCTAGGGTGTGAATGATGAATGGGGGCATTGTGGGGATGAAGCAGAGAGTGAGTGATGAAGCCTCTGAGTAAAACAAGAACCAGAGGCGGCCTGGCTGCTTGGGCCGGTCACTTCCTGCCCCTCACCACCCTGGTCAGCCCCAGTTCATACTCTGGTGTTTCAGCACCAACATCTTGGCCTTCTCCAGGAAGCCTCCCCTTACTGCCAAGACCAGGGCCAACGTTTCACCTTCTTTTTACCCCCTCTGACAGTGCTCAGCCACCAAGTGAATTCATCCAGGGTAAGACTTTAGCTCTGCTGCATCCCAGCGCCTGGTACACAGTAGGTGCTCCGTAGTTTCTTGTTGGATATGTTGAGGAAGGGGTCACTGAGGGGCCTGAGTGTCTCTACTGAGAAAAGCAGCCCTGCATCTCACTAGATCCTGAAGGACTTTGAAGGGGGTGCCAGCCTGGGGAGCTGGTCCAGGAAGCTTTGCCTTGCAAGGGCTAGTGTCTCTGCTCCCTCCAGCAGGGGCAGCTTAGCAACTGAAAAAAAAAAAATTAAAAGAAAGAAAAAGAGGGGAACTAATTAAAAAGCTTTGTGATTAAATGAATCTGAAAGTGTTTTTCCCCAAAGATTGGAGCGGAAATGAGGAATCCCTGTGCAGTACTGACTGCGACCCATTTCCTACCACAACGGGCAAGCCTGGGAGCCTGACAGCGGTGTGAGCCAGGGTGCCATTGCTCTACTTTCTTGGGGGCTAGGTGGCTCCACAGTAGCCAAGTGGCTACCTGCTAACTTCTCATAGTCCTCACTGTGTGCAGGGCATACCATACCATCATCACAGTCATCCTTGGGCACTGAGGGGAGGAGAAACTGAGGCACAGAGGCTCACTGACCTGTCAGCACTCCATGCTGAGTGACAGGAAGGATCTGGCCTCCATCTCTCTTTCTTAGTCTCCCCGGTGCTCCTGCCTCCCGGCTTTCTCCCAAGATCACTTCTGAGATGACCAGTGACATGTAGATGGGACCAGGTCCCCTTCTGTTAGCCCCTCTGCTCAGAGCCTGGGGTGTGCATACCATCAAAGGACCATTTGACTTCCACAGTCAGCTGATTCTGGCCACAGAGGACTTCACCATCTGGGAAGAACAAAGGCCAAGACACTAATAGTCATGTGGGGTATTCGCCTCAGAAGGGCCAACAAAGGTCTCAGGGGTAGGAGGTACCTAAGAGTAGCCCACAGCCGTGGCGTGGGTGAGGGGAGGCCTGTATCCTGGACATTTGAGCTGAGGTTTGAAAGCTGAGAGAAGTTCACGTGTGATGAAGGCAGTTATTCAGGCAGCCGGCGCAGCAGGCTCAAAGGCCCTGGGGCAGAGCTGAGCAGCTGCATTAGGAGAACAGAGAAATAATCTCAGATCTCAACAAGAACAACACGGCAAGAGAGAGAGCACGCCACAGGGGAGCATTTGGAAAGGAAGGCTGGCTGGGGTGTGCCTTGCCTTCCAGGCCTGGAGAGTCTGGATTTGATTTAGAGTGTGATAGAAGGTTCTGGAATGCGGGGATCTGACTCCAGTTGTGTTAAAGATCTATCCATCCACTATGTGGAAAATAGAATAGACTGTAGGGGAGAGACCCAGAGATGCTTGGGACAGCAAGTGAGGAACAGTGGCTCCTTGAGTTGGGACAAGGTTGGCAGCAGAGTTGGGTGACTTAAACTTGTAAGGGGTGACAAGTTTAGACATTTGGATGCCCAGGTTCCCAAGGACATGGCAGGGTGACTCTTGGGTATGGTGCTGGTTCCAGGGGCAGGGGATTTGCAGGCCTAGGCGTGGCACTTGCCAAGGAGGCTTAGGATACCCTGAAGCATGTGTCAAGGGTCCGTGGAAGCAGAGGGTGCAGCCTGGGATCATTCAGGGTGTCGGGGAAGCAAGATCAACTTCTGCTCTGATGTCTAGCCTTCTAGTGTCACCTGGGAATGGCAGCTAGATTGCAATAGTAATATTTATATCTGGCAAGCCGTGGCTGGCTTACCTAGCATCTAGGATCTGCCCTGTGCCCACAATTTATTTCTTTCTGGAATGTTCCTGAACTTTCTAGAATAAACACGGGCCTCCCCACCTTCCCCAATCCTCTGTTTAGTCTCCATAAAGGCCCTATAGGAATGACAGTGGCCCTCAGCCTTTCTCCAAGTCTACTGGGACCTCTGCCTTCCCTGAGCCTGAACTGACAGCCATTGCCTGAGGCTGCTGGGTAAATGGGCAGCAGGCTCACTGCAGACCGGCCATTTCCATCCATCCAGTGTCCCTGGGGAGGTGGCCTCCTTTAGCAGCTTCCCATAGCCCATGGGTTCGTGTTCTCCACAGCTGGGAACAGTCGCTGGGCAATGCAGGGGCCCTGACATCTATGTCAATGACAATTCAATAGACATGTCCAGTCAGTAGCTAAGAGAGGTGAGCACTCCAGACAGGGAACAAGGGCCGGAGATAAAGTGAACTCTGCAGGTCCAGCTGTGTTTGGTGAAACGGGAACAGGATCTATTCAAAGAGGTGAGCACCCACTCACCTCAGCCTTCCTTTCCCTATTTCGTGAACATTGGCAAGGACTGATCTCTGATGGTGTTGGTGACAATGACCATGAGATCTGGCATTTATAGAGTTACTGTACACAGTGACAGCATCTGTGTGCTAAAAGCTCTGGCCATATTCTATGGGATCTCCACTGCTGTTACCTTCCTTTGAAGATGAGAAGGCCAAGGCTGAAGAAGATGAGAATGTCAAGGCTGCAAACCAGCCATGTGATGCATGCCTGTAATCTCAACACTCTTGAGGTAAAGGCAGGAGGCCAAGGTTACATTCTCAGTTATATAGTGAGGCCAGCCTGGGCTATGTGAATCTGGCGCTAAAAGGCAGACTGGCTGGGGCCTGGTTCTACTTAGTTCTGGTAGAGTTCCCTGCATGTCTCCCATCACCTGGTGGTAACTAGCCAATGGTACTCCAGAGACGAGGCTGGACCAATGCAGTCTGTCTGGTTTCTCCATGAGCCATGTGCTGCCTGATTGAATCCTAGAGGTCTGGCATTTATTGCTCCATTTTCTGGATTGGCACACCAAGCCTCAGAAGTGAAGGGTCCATCCTGAAGACACACTGCAACTAAGTGGAAGAGAAACTTGGTATTTAAAATAGTATCTGGTCCCATCTCCATCCTGTTCCTGGCTTTAGGGAAACAATCTGCTCGGATTGTTTCCTTACTCTCCTGGGGTTCCTTTGACACCAGGAGTACCTCTATTGTCCTCATATCATCAGGAATTCAAGTGTCCCTAAAGTGGCACCCACACAAAATATGGACTCTGACCTTTGTGCTGGAGCAGATAGTATGTTGCACAGCGGCACCTACTGGACAATCTTGTAATTGCACCCTAGATTGGCCGACTATGTCACCAAGGAGCACCTACTGTGTGTGTATTGAGAGGGGGATCTAGAGGTAAATGTGTGGCCCTTGCCCTCAGGAAACCCACACCCTCAGAGGAGATAGGTACAAGCGTTAGAGACATAGAAGAGGTTTTGCACCCACTACTTGTGGCTGGGGCATCCGAAAGGTCCCCACCAGAGTTAGCGTTTATGCTGAGCCGTGAATGATGAGCAAGGAACTGCTAGCCGGAGGAGGAAAGAACACTTGGGGCTGGAAAAGCTGGCCAAGAGCCTAGTATCCAAGCAAGTGGGGGTGGTCACCTGATAAAACCTAGTAGGAGGTATGTGTCTTGGGGGTAGAACACTCCCCTAGCATGTCTAAGCCTGTCCACAAAAATAAATAAAATATGGGACCCAAGATTAAATTTGAATGAAGAAAATTTTAATGTATGCCCCAAGTAGAGTATAGGCTATAATTATATTACAAAATTGGGATCGGAGAGACTTCATTTGGTAAAGTGTTTGCCATGCAAGCATGTCTTAGTTCAATTCCCAGCACCAATGTTAAAACAAACAAACAAATAAAACAAAAAATGGGCACAGAAGAACACACATATAATTTAGGCACTGGAGAGTTGGAGACAGGTGGATCCCTAAGGCTTGCTGGCCATCCAGCCTAGCCTAATTGGTCTGCCCAGTGAGAGACCCGGTCTCAACATGGTGGATAATAACTGAGAAAGACACTCTTGTTGACCTCTGGCTTCCACATTTAAGAGCTGTTCATACACAAAAATACATACAGAAATTTATATATATTATATATATATATATATATATATTTGTGTGTGTGTGTGTGTGTGTGTGTATTTATGTACATTGGGGTTGGGAATGCAGCTCAGTGGGTAGAGCGTTTGCCTAGTGTGCACAAAATGCTCCAGGGTTCCACCCCAAACACTGCATAAACTGGACATAGTAGTACATGTTTGTAATCCCAGAATTTAGGGGGCAGAGGCAGGGGGATTATCTGTTCATGGTCATCCTTGGCTACATAGCAAGTTCCAGGACATCCTTGAGCTACATGAAACTCTTATCTCATAAACAAAGTAAAGCCAGGTGTTGGTGGTGCACACCTTTAATCCCAGCACTCGGGAGGCA